AAGTTAACATCAGAATAGTTATCAGTAAAAGCTAATTTGAACATGCTTGCCTCGTATCTAGAGAAACACGTAAGTAATGTTAATGAGATTTGCAAAAAATTCTAGCTTCCTTTTAAGACACATAGTGATAGATGTGATGTTGATGTGTGAGAATGTCTGCAGGTTAGTTAGCAGTCTCATTTAAACTGCTCTCTCCTGTGCACAAACAGTAAAGGCTGAATTATGTATACTTGTTTTCAGTAAATAAGCTAAATTTAAGTTGTAAATTGTGACATGCATTGATAAAGTAAGTACTTGAATAGGAGTTTTCTAGATTTATTTGTATAGAAATGGCCTTATCGTAAATGCTGGAGGAGACTGCCCAGATGCCTTCCTCTTTGATAACAGGTTATATTTATTACCTAAACCGCTCGCCTGCTGACGGTACGAATTGAAGAATTTCTTGTACCCAGATAAGCTACCGCTACATGCTCCCGTCTTCCAACATTACATAAATCTTTACATAGGCTTTCTCATGTTTTTTCATAAGACCACATAGTCTCCCGTTTTGTTGTCACCTCCGTAAGATTTAACTTCATTTAAGCAAAGGTCAGGTTCACAGCTTGTGCTTTAACAGCGGTGCATGCTGGGAAATTTCCGGCCATTATCACCCGAGATGCAGCACAATACGGAGTCACAAGGAATTATGGGTCGAAAACATGGACTTTCAACTGCATTCAGTTCCTGCATGGTGTTGTATGGTAAGAAAAGATAAAATGGTGTAGTAGATATCAGATCATTGCAACTATGTACAGGGATGTGGGTGGAGGTAGGGGGTAGGTGAAAACAGAGGATTTCTGAACACTCAAGCCTCAAAAGCAGAGAAAAACTAAGAGTAAACAATAAACAATGGACTTGTTTAAAAACTAATAGAAATTCATGTTCCATAATATGAGTCCTTTAACAACAGGGGTCACTAAACTTTTTTCTCTGGGGCCACATTATCACTCCTGACTGTGATGGGGGGCCAGGGTGAGGTAAGCCAACGAAGGAATACACGTGGTTGAGCAGCCGGTCCGCCTTTCATCCGCCGATGTGTTATTATTTGCCAAAATTAATTGAAAAGACTAGGCCATGACAACTTTTGAGGATTGCCTCATAAGGCCAGTTCAAGTGGTGGGGGGCAGAGGGGCTGGGGGGCTGGTCAAAGGCGTGTGGAGGGCCAGAGTCGACCCACAGGCTTTAGTTTGATGACTCCTGCTAAACAACATAATATCCATATTTCTTTGACTGGGATGTTCCACGGTATGGCATTAAACTTATCAATTTCCATGGACAAGCAGATGATCCTGTTACAAGTCAGATCTGTGGAGAGGCAAGTCATTTTTTTAATCAATAAAGTAATACAATATATGCAAGATCAGGAAGTTTAATGACATATGGCAGAAAATTCTGGGTAAAGCATTGTTATGTAAAACATGTTGTACGCAATTGTAAGGTCTTTTTTGCCAGCCAGGTCAAATCCATTAAATTCATTTGTGAAAGGAAGTAATTTTCCCATTCAAGTCCTTTTGTTTGTAGAACTCTGAAGTCATTTGCTCCGTCTGCCACACTGCCCACACTTTCATTTCTTTTTTAAAAAGTCATTCTATTATTTGAATATTTATAGCAGACAACTTTGGGTATAACTTTTTTGAATTCTGCAGTCTATCTCTTGGATCTCTATATGTAAAATGAAAGTTTTTCATTTTCACCACATCCATCAAGCAAAGATGTATTTAAAATAATGACTAAACAGCACTATCAAAGCCCGTATATCTCCCCCACTGTTCAACTCGTCAGCTACTACACTAATGATCACTCCCATAGAGATAATAACAGTCTGGTGTCTGAATACGCAATAATCTACGTGAAATACAACTACGCTATTTATGCACCGCAAGGGTCCACATGAGAGGGTAATACTATGGCTGAATGAGCTGAGAAAAACAAAGTAGTTATCAGACTTCATCTTCTAATTGAGTAAGTCTACAAGTGACAAAAGCTTTATGTTGATATTTGCGTTTCTTGCACAAATTTACCATCTCTACTGTCTCCGCTTTCACCCAGTGTAGAGTGAGTGAATAAACCACTTTGGGTGTCTTAAAAGGCCCTACATAAATTCAATGGTTAATTAAGGATTAATTGATTAAAAATGTGGAAAAACATAATTAGTTCACAGTGGTGCAAAGTTATTCCTCACTTACCTTATGGATTCAGAGCATCCTAATTATTCACCATGAGTTTAGAAGCGCTTTTCACAAACATTTCATTTCACCATTGTTGTAATGCAATAATTAATATGCTAATTAGATGGAGGCAGTGCACAGCTTTAATTCTATATTTTGAAAAAGGCGAGCTAAAAAAACCACCTGCCCCCGTTACTGCATTCAGGAGATCATCAAAGGCAGTGGCATTTTCCACTTTTCAATGTCAGCAAATTATTTTGGAATTACTTTGAAGCCATATAACTCTTTCAGTTGTTTCAGCGTGTTTTATTTTTATGTTTTTAGTTGTACAGCCTTTACATAATGCCAGCTATCTAGCACAAGTCAGGGCTATCCATTGTCATAAAGCATTGCCCTAGCAACTGCAACATTGGTTGACTCATAGGTGATGCTTTCACCTGTACATATGAGGTTTTGATTGGTCAAAGCTTCTCCTTGTAACTATGGCCCCAGGTGCACAAAAGATATGGGGAGAGAATAATTAATAAAACTGATTCAGTATAGGACTGTTTGTGCCCATATGTCTTTTGCCGAATCAACAATAGATCTCCACAGGAAAGAGGCCAACCACTCTGCAACAGAGTGACTCCTCAATTCATTCATTTTAGTTTAATAGTTACAGCAAATGCCCTACAGAAAATAAATCACTCTCATGTACCATTTTACTTGCCTGATTCATCAGCTGGTTTCACTTTGTACAAACCATCTGACCTCGTAGCATTAGAATTTGTTCGCTCGACGATAGGCGGGTACTTTTTTCATTTAACCAATCGCTGCTATTTGGTCGTGACGTATGTAATGCAAAGCTAACGGGGCTAACTGGTATATTAAACTTTTCCCAAATCCCATAGGAAGAAGGGCAATAATGTCTTTCCCCTTGATAAAATTCACCAAACATTTTTTTTTGTTCCGGTTTTAAATCCTCGATCTCGGGAATTGTTGCCAACACAGAATGTAAGGCTCTTCGTTGATTGGCTGGTGCCCAAACTCGCACTTCAGAGGTTTTTGCAAACCGTCTAGTGTATTCCAATTCCTGACCTAGTTGCTGGGGAGAAATGAAATTGAGCAGAGGCACAATGTGGCGCCTCCCTGGCTACCATTTTACAACAGTTCTGGTATAAGGGTAGGGTTTTAAACCAGTAGTGAAGCAAATCCAGGAATAAACTGTGAATTTTCAATATTTTTAGTTTTCATTTCAGTAATAAAACAACTGTAACAAAACTGATTATGAAATGAACTGACCTCCAGTTATACCACAATTTGAAATCAATGTCCTCCTACATGTGTAGGAGGACATGTAGACCAGTGAGGACAACAAGCTGTACTCCATAGAATATAATGCAATGCCATAATAGACTTCGATTAAAGTGTACACAATAGAATACAATAGACCAGATATACCCTGTATTGTGCCTGGCTGGTATGGGGAGGAAAAAATAAATAAAATAAAATCACAATTTCTCTATTAATGTCTGCTCAAACACAAATACTTTTACCCATCCACTTCTCCAATTGGCTAGCCTCTGGAAGGCTCTGAGTGAGTGACAGTTGGGTTTAACCAATCACAGTCTAGTGTGAATTTTCAGAAGAAGCTGATCACTTTTAAATACAATAAAAAATAGAATGTGTAAGTGAATCTTCATTAAATGTAAATTGTGATATGAAAATTGTATTTTGTTCCAAGACATCCGTGTATTTTGTTTTAATATTTAATCAAATTCTGCTAACACTCATTGTTTGTGTGCCTTTATTTTATTTTATCATACTTTCTATTTACTATTATTATCTGTTGTTTTACGTTGCACCATATCACCATAACAAATTCTTAGTTTGTGAATTTTGCTTACTGACTGGAAAAAAAACTTCTCTTCAAAGCCTGATTCTGATCATTTTTTGTCATATTGCTTAAGACATATACATACATAAGGTTACAAAGAGCCTCATTTGGAGCTGCTGTCCTTTGTAGCCACATCCTGCTGTGCCTCAGAACAATTACCAGTGCACGCCTGATGCCACATGCTGAACACAATGAAGAAAACCAGCCAGTGTGGACAGGCTACAGCCATTTTCACAGCTGCATTGGCCAGTGTAAGGTAAAATTACATAGTGCAGGGGGAAGAATTTGGATTTTAATGTTCAGATATTTTGAGATTGAGGCTTGCTTGATAGTGTTACAATACTAAAATGTGAAGCTCGATTTTGATGTTACAATACAGATTTCAATGCCACAATAATTTAAAAATGAGGGATTTTTTTGACAGTTGGCTGACATTTCACCATGTTCTTTTATATTAGTTTTTTGCAATGCTAGTATACTTGTTAAAAGGAGTGTTAAAAGGACTGCTTTTCCAATCAGTTAGAATGTGATTTTTGATACTTTTGGCAACCCATATTTGATATTACATTGATATTATTTACATTTTTTATACGTGTTAAAGCAAAAAGATAGTTTTTTTTAGAACTTACCCAAGCAGCAAAAAAATTCGAAGAAATCAAAAATAAAAATCATCTTTCATAAAAGAGCACTGCTTACACAAATTTAGCTTAGATACATCTTCCTTATAAGTTTAAGTTTATGGCAAAACAGGTATATTTTAGGCTTTGTCTGTTATGTGTGATTTTTTTTTTTTTAAGAATATACAAACTAAATTGAAGTGAACAATTGTCATGCGAAAAGACACGTTCGAATTCACGACAAGACGGCAGGCCAGCCTGATCACTTTATTGCTGTGCGTGTGAGCATTACGCACTTACCTGTCCAAGGCGATGGCTGTCATGGAGTAGATGCTGGCGAAGACCGCAGCGATGGGAAAGAAGTTGTGGAAGCGACAGTACACGAGCCCGAAGTACCACTCGTTGTGCACGGCGTAAGTAAAGTTGATAACGGTGTTGAAAGCTGACATCGAGGCTTCGGCAAACGCCAGATTCAAGGAGGAAATAGTTGGTGACAGTCCTCATGCGCTTGTGTGCCATGATAATCCAAATCACCGTTACGTTACCGACCACGGAGACTATGACAATACAGCTGTACGCTATAGCCCACAGCACGATCCTCCACACCGGCTGTACGAACTGGTTCCAGTACTCGGTCCCGTTGTGGGTGTCGTTGGGGCTGCTGGTGGTCCAGATAGGCGCCCCCGTACTGTTGAATAGCGGGTCCATTTTGAACTAAAGTTACAGGAATGTGCTGCTAAATCGCTCAACAGATTACCCTCACTCTAAAAGAAATGGTTGAAAAGTAAACACTACATAACTGTCTCGATAATAACAGACTTTGACAGAAATAGTTCAAATATAAGGCAACAGGTTACGATCAACTCGCAAACTGTTCAATCCGCGCCTTGCGTAAAATGTGCCTTTTACGCGTCTCGCTCTCCAGGACTTGTCCCGGCTCTCTGACGCAGCTCGCGCGTGTGCTCTGCCTCCTTCGACTGTAGTGGCAACTCTGCGCTCGCTCCTCCTGCTCCCGGTGTTAAAAGTGAATAGCAAAGCCACTCTGTCCAATAGGAGCGCTCCGCCGACTGACCTATGAATTAGACAGGTGAGGGAAGGAGCCCTTAAACAGATCCACATTTCAGAAAACCTCTTGTACACGTAAGTTGATTATCATATGCATGTACATGCATGCTATAAGAGCAGGAAATTCAATTAGGAAGCAATCATTTTAAGGAATGTAGTTCGTGTATCATGCCTTACAATATTGTATTCAAGTCTGCTATGCTGCCAGTTTACATTTACAAATATCTGACGTGTTCTTTACGCATTTATTTACTATTATAGGTGACAATTCAGTCTAACTCATTGGTACAGCTATGTAAAGTGTGCAATGAGGGTTTCAGTCCAATGAGATTCATTTGGTCTTCCCATATTTTATGTTATTAGGTTCTTTTTTCAGACCAAGATTCTTCAAGATTTTGGTCTGAAAAAAGAACCTAATAACACTAAAGGGTTTCATTTTGATGCATACTGACATAATAATGATACTGTTGTTATGCCCTTATGCAAGACACTTAAGTCATCTTACAATTGTCCCTCAGTTTTACAATAGAAAATCCATAATTTTTCTTTCTTTCTTTGTAACCTTTATCCAGGTTTCTCCAAATTTTGTCAAGACATTTTCTGCCTGTTGTGTAATTACATTTTAATTCAATCTAATCATATAACTTTTAAATTTCATTCTTGCCTTAAGATGTTTTGATTCCTCTTGCAATGTTTCCCCACCACACGGACATAACTTAATTTGCTTTACACAAAATCAAGAAATCAATATTCTTTTTTATTTTGTAATAGATTCACCCCTTGCTGTTACTTAAGCTCCTCCACAGCCTAATGACATGGTCGAGGAGGTGTGGGGTGGACCTCTTGAGGCTGTTATAAAAGCATTAAGAGGGTAAGGTGGCACACACACACACATATCTGTAATGAGCTTGTTCATTGGGCATCGTGGCTCAGAAGTACTGGCCCCCGGGGGACACATGATGCGAAGAGCAGAGAGGGCTTTAGACATTGATGAAACACATTAGAAGAGATCTGAGGAAATCTAAAACATCAATAGCAGGTTATTTGTTTACAAAGGGGGTACAGGGGGTTGAATTTTCTTGTTGTTCAGCTATTCCCGCTGTCATGATTTGTAAATTGTCCAGATGCCCTTGGAGTTGAATTCTCATTTTTGGCTAGATGTGTTTTTAAATGTTGTCATGCCAGCAAAGAAGGTGTCCTTTGGGGAATCTTGTAATGTTTTGAGGCATGATAATATTTATAAATGAAGATGCTATGTGCAGCTTGTCTGCTCATCTCCATGGAGATTTTAGTGCTTTGTCTGGGGGGGAAAAAAAAAAAAAAAAATCGTACATCTCATTTATTCAATTAGAGGTGCAAAAATATAGCCAGGCTGGTGCCATCTAGTGCCTCTGCTCAATTTCATTTCTCTCCAGTGAATAGGTCAGAATTGGAATACACTAGTCAGTTTGCAAGAACCCCAGAAGTTGTAGACGAGCACCGACCAATCAGGGAGAGTTGTGAAGCCATGACGTCAAACTCAAGCACCTGTCTGGGTCCCTTTTGTGGTACAGCACAACAGTAAACAAAGTGGTCGAGATGGATGTAGACGAAGCCAGACATTCTGTGTTGGCAACAATTCCTGAGACTGAGGATTTAAAGCCGGAACAAAGAGAATGTTTGTTGAGTTTTATCAAGGGTAAAGACGTCATTGCCCTTCTTCCTAAAGGATTTGGGAAAAGCTTAATACACCAGTTAGCCCTGTTAGCAGCGCATTACATACGTCACGACCAAATAGCAGCGACTGGTTAAATAAAGTACGCGCACCGTCGAACAAATTAATCTTAATGCTGCAAGGTCAGACGGTTTCCACAAAGTGAAACCGGCTGATGAATCAGGCAAAAACACCCCCCAAAAATGCATTCTTGCTCTGACTGGGCTCACTTTTCCACAGATCTGACCTATAATTTGGCTTAGTGTTGTCACCTGCTGTGTGGCTCCGTAGAGTACGTTTTAGGCAAAGCAACACCTCTATGGAAACAAGCAGGTGGTAGACATCCACTCGAAAAATTCCACATCCTCCTATCTCCACACAGAGAAAGGTGCAGAATATTAAAGTTAAACCCAGCAGCGTTTCACTGGGAGGCAAAATTCTAATCACTATGCCACAAAGAAGACACACAATCTTTATTTAGAAAAAGATTAGGTTAGCTGGATTAATTAGCCTGGTGTTTATTTTTTTATTTTAACAATTCCAAAGTTATGAAGTTCAAATATGTGTTCAGTTTATTTCTTTCATGCCATTCCCCTCTGTCCCAATCTTTCCTGTTTATTCTCTATATCAAAGGTTACACGAGGCCTGCTTTTTTCATATAATTCCATGCAAACGGAAGTAGCTGATCCGACGGCACAGCGTAAACATGTGTGGAGCCTGGTTCTGAAATCGCTCCGGTCTCAGGAGGAAGTGAATAATGAATGATTTTCTCAAACATGTCTCATTTTGATTGACAGGCAGTTTTCCTTCACTGTCAATATATGTGCTCAAAGGGGCCGCATACATTATGTACAATATAACTTAAAGCTATATTAAGATTCACTGATAGCTGCCTTTTGCATGGTGTTCAGACGACATCAAAACATTCTATAGGCGAATCATATTTATGGGGCCCATATTAAACCCTTTTCTGATCCATGTTATAATGTTTCCTCATCAAAAACATACCTGAAGTTTTGTTTTGTTTCACTCACACATGTTTAACTCACAAACTGCCTATTTAGGAGCTCTTCTCTAAAACAGAAAACACACATTTGGATAATTTCAGTCCAGGAATTGCCAATTTCTACTGAACTAAAGGTAAAAAGTTGCTGTTATCTTAAAGTTTCATAATATCACAAAGTGGAACAGACATTTTTGAGCTTTGGACATGTAGATAGACTAAAAACGCTTACTCGAACATGTGTAAATGAAACAAAACACAACCCCAGTTATGTTTTTGAAGAGGTAAAACTAGGTAACTCACAAGAGTCAATTTTGCGTAATATGGGACCTTGAAATGCAAGATTGACAGGTTTAATGCCATACGGTATAATACCTAGAGGCAAAACAGAATCCTCCACCAGAAAATCACATAGTGCGTCTTTAAAGTCTCTGGAGTTGGCATCAGACGGAACGATGAATGATTTATTTCAGAGACTACATTGTGGTTTTAAGTAGTTGTGGGATGTACTGTAAGCATGCCAAGAAAATAGCAAGTAGTGGCCTATTGGGGGAGGAAAATGTGATAGCCAAAAACAGAAAGGTCAAATGGTGGCAAAAACAACGTGTCTGGCTGTCAGCTCCTTTGAGAAAGTTCTTATAAAGACAATGGGCAAGAGCACTGTCAGAAGTGTCTTTCTTAGTGAGCTTGCATGTTTTCTTTGAGTCTTTCGGGTTTTATCAGGGTGCCATCTGCTTACAACATACAAGTACTACTTCTGAACCTGACTCAGAATTGGGGTGGGGTTTCTCCAACTGCTGTTTGGAATTATATTGTGTCAAAATCCATCCATTTTCTTCTGCTTATCTAGGGCCAGGTCATGGGGCAGTAGTCTAAGCTGGGACTCCCTGACCTCCTTGGTAAATGGTAAATGGTCACATTTTTCTATAGCACTTTTCCACCTTCAAGGCACTCAAAGCTCACCCTTCAGATCAGTGGGCGAATGCTCTACCCACTGAGCTACTGCCGCCCACCTCCTTAACCCCGAACACTTCCTCCAGCATCCTCCACGGGGGACAACAAGGCGTTCCCAGGTCAACAGAGAGACATAGTCCCTCCAGCTTGTTCTGGGTCTTCCCCGGGGCCTCCTCCCGATGGGACATGCCTGGAACACCTCCCTAGGAAGGCGCCCAGGAGGCATCCGGAACACCTCAGCTGGCTCCTCTTGATGTGGAGGAGCAGCGGCTCTACTCCAAGTTCCTCCTGTGTGGCTGAGCTCCTCACCCTATCTCTAAGGGAGCACCCAGCCACCCTGCAGAGGAAATTTATTACAGCTGCTTATATCCGTGATTTTGTCCTTTTGTTATTACCCAAAGCTCCTGACCAGGTGAGTGTAGGAACGTTGATTGACCGGTAAATCAAGCGCCTTATAATGTCATCCTCAATTATGGATGTAACAATAACATTTTGCTGGTTATCATCATCATGAAAAGAAGCATCACTTGTTAACTTATTTAGCATCCCTGAAAAAGAAATAAAGGCCCGAAGATAATCTGAAAACTAAAGAAAAAATACACAAAATTAATTTAAACAATACTTTTTCTGCAGCCTGTGATTAATACGAGCGTTCATGCTCCTGTTTAGCCGGTGACTCTAATTTTATATGTGAGAGTTCCAGCTAAATCAGTTCTATATGGTCACATTTTGGTAAAACAAAGCTCAGATTATAGTCTAATAGAACTTCAGACAGATAGATGCCTCCAATTATCTTCACACCCACAGGTAATGTTGGTGACATCAACTGCAAAGTATCATTACTGTACAGCAGGGGTCTCAGACTCGCGGCCCGGGGGCCAACTGCGGCCCTCGGAAGGATTTTTTGCGGCCCTCCACTTAATTCCAAAGAATAATGTCAGTGCGGCCCGCGGTAGATGTATGCACAATCCCACCCCCCTACCGCGGGCCGCA